CAACCCACCTTAAAACCATAAGATGCAAATTTAAATACACTGATATACCCCTGTTTTGGCCAGGTGTTCCATTCCCTTGGCAACATTAAGAGCAAAGTTGACTAGCCGTTCTGGAGACAAGGCATCCTCATCAGAGTCGGACTGTGATCGGGCTGTTCTTAGGTAGCTGCGCAGATCACCACGGGGAAGGTACTCCAAGGCAACGTACAAAACTTCTAATGATGAAAAAAAGCTTTGAATAAGCTTTCGGTATTTGTGAAGATATTGGAGTGCGAAAATCTTTATAATACTGGAATTTCCTATCGCAATTGAAGTTAACATTCCTTCCCTACCTTGCCGCCGGCACGCGCCCAAAAGCGAGACGACATTCGGATGGTGGCCAATAGAGGTCATTGTTCGGAGTTCCTCGAGAAAGTCCTCCCTCTCACTGGCTGATGCGTGAGCTTTAAAGGAGAAGAATGCATGAAACTAAAATGAGATTTGGCACTGCTAGATAGCTAGATATGTTAGTGTACAGCCACTGCATTTTAACGAGGCGCACAGTCTTGGGGGCGTTTATCTGATCAGGGCGCAAAGAAACAACACAGAAGTGTTAGTATGAGTAGTTCGTTACCTTTGAGCATCTTGAATGCCGACGTGATCATCACTCCATCAATTCTTACAGCGCCTGATCGCACCTCACCAAAGTTTCCTCTGCCGAGTATTCGATCATCAACGGTGAGGTCGCTCCATGGAATCTTCCATCCCTCCGCCCATGAGGGTAGATTGTCCTCCTCCCTGAAGATCACTCGTGGTTCCTCGTACGGTAGAGCGTTGTCATCATCATAATTGCGCTTATTAACATGAGAACAAATTTTGTCCTCGTACTTGTGTGCAGCTTGAGGTAAAATTCTCTCTTCGTATTTATGCGAAGTCACTAAACTGGCTTCGGAGTTCCTTGGTGTGTTCTGGCGCAGTAGCACGTTGTCATTATACTTAAGCTCATCGACTTGCGGTGAAATTTTGTCCTCGTATTTGCGTGTAACCTGCGGGCTAATTCGGTCCTCATATTTTTGTTCCACGTGTGTCAAAATTCTGTCCTCGTACTTGCGTGCAGCTTGCTGTGAAATTCTGTTCTCGAATGGACCAGTCACTCCAGGGTCATCGTACGAAGTCACATGCTTAAAAACACACAAACATTGCAAGAAAGTTTCTTTGAATCAGTTTTTCTTTCTATTTCAGCGAAAATTTGTGTATCTCAATATTCTATATTTACCAAATTTATGAGAGACGTACGGTTTGTTTACATATGTGAGAGTTTATGAATACCAGAGGCCCAACCTGTCCCAAAGCTGTGATTTTGTCCAACAATGTCAATTCTGAATAAGAATGATAAATTGTAAAAATTATCAAGTAGGCCTATAATAACCAAACAGTTGGAGAAACAATGGCATTTGTTTTATGTACATATACTTTTCAAAAAATCCTTAACCAAACAAGTAACTCTTCCTTGTACTAGTAACTTTCAGTTTCAGAATGACAAATGCACTCCAAAACTCCAAAACCAGGTAGTAACCTGTAGTTATATAACTTCATTTTTACTGTATGAAGAATCTGAGCGAACAATCCAGAGCTCACCATATCAACAGTTGGCTGATTATTTTTTGCCCTTTTACCGATCTGTGCTGTCTTTCGTTTCCTTCTCACCCTGACCACGACGTTCCCTATCACGACGACCATCAGAGTGCTCAGGACACTGACGACGGCAACCACGGCAATCGGTACGCCCACTCTCTCACCTTTAAAATATCAAAATATTCTTCTGAATGATTATGAAACACGTGCACGGGAAATTCGTCACTACTACTTTCTATCACTTACTACCGGTACATGCACTCCTACCAGAAACTGTAAATGTTAATTTAGGCCAAACAAACTAGGGTTTTGCTTTTGTTTGGTTACATTTCCTCCTTTTTAATCGGCGCACGTTGGTTGGCAAGGCCGTGGGAATGTTCCATTCAGCAATCTACCCAAAAATCAGCTGACACATACAAACAATTCGAGGCGTTTTATTGTTTTCGTCAAACGTAAGTCCTGCCTTTCTGGATGCTTTCTTCGAGGTTCACGTCATGCATAAACAGTTCTAAAACAGGTGGACATTTCCAAATGTATACAAATGAAGCAAGCTATGGGACGTAGAGCACCTCCACCTATCGCGAATTCTTTTGCAAACTTCTAGGAGATGTGTATTGGGACTGGAAACATGGGGAGTACCCCTCCGTCCCATATCTTGCCGAGTGTATCCAAATAAACCTCCGGTGGGGGAGGTTGTTTCCACAACTAATAAGAGCAAATCTATACGTTTTGACTGATTTCAACTGAATATTCCCAAACTACTATTGTACACAGAAAACATTCGTCTCATAATTCTGCGTAAGCTTCAACATTACTTTAATAAAGGAATACAACGTTCAAACCTGAGCAAGACTGAAGATATGCAGTAACCGATTTTATTGACTCTCCATGGGTACTGGTAGCTTGGCATTGTAGGCTTTTCATAAGGCTACTGTCTGCAGGGTTAGTCACGGTGAATCTGCTGGTAGCGTTCACCAGGCGGCCTGTGGTCTCACCTGCCACTTCCAAGGAACCCACAACTTCCTCAGAATCACTAAGTAGCCATGTGAGTGTCCACCGGTCTGGCCGCATGACACGGAGAGTACACTCAAAGCTTCGCTTAGCTCCTGGTGGGACACAAAGTCGATGGGATTTTTCCCTCACTAGATCTCCAGTTGAGATGTCCAACAGAGCCAAGAGGGGCTTTGGAGCTGACATGAAAATAAAGGTGTAGAAAATGATCCTGAATTCATGTCAAAAACACCACCAGATATCCGACAGTATGCATATTTCAATCTGCAATGGACATAACGCATTGCAATTTTCAGTATTCCTTCAGACCACTCCATTAGCCTGCTACTTGTATGGGCGGCAAAAGTGCAGAACTATCACCTTACGGTTGGTTTTCTAAGTCTCAACACGGACATTTGTCCCACTAATTTAAATATGGTTGTATTTTTATTTGATATGCAGTAGTAATAAAGCGGCATTATGCGGCCACGTCTCACGTAGTTTATCACGGGGCAGATGTCCTTCATCGATTTCCTTGCCCCCTGCTATCTTTGTCAATTCACATAATTATTGAAATAATATATTAATTTATTTCTATAGAGCACATTACATTAATAAATTCAAAGAAGCAATAAACTTTAATACGCTCTACAGATTAAAACGGCAGGAAATATAATGGTTCTGTAAGATATTATGCAGTCACAAAAATACAAAGTGCATCAAAACTTCAAAAGGCGTAAAAACAATACATTACTTCATTGATCCAGCTTTAATTTTATACAAGTATATTGCGTGACCATCTGCATACAGACATTCGGTTTGATAGTTTGGTTTCTACCACAGCTCTTTTGGTTTTAACCCATATTTAGAAAGAAAGATATTTTTCGGTTTCTCTTCGAGTACATGTTTAGATGATTTTGTTTCAACATGTTGGCCTACACACGTCAGTGGCTCCTGTTTTCAGTACAAACGAGGTCGTTGCTTCTGAGGAGAAATGTCTGTGCGTATAACTAACTATTTCCTTGGAAATAGTTGACAGACTGACTCTTACGCAGT